TGGCGTGTCCGCATACTGATAACTGCTACAACGCAGAGCATCAGCGTACAGATAGTACCTAGCAAGACAGCAGCGTCGACAACACCTCGTTCCTTCTTCCGGCTTGTCATTGTCATGAGACCCAAGATGAGGTCTATGACAACAGCCGCGCCCAGTGCAGTAGAGTAGAAGCGCAGCTTGGTCATTTCAATCTTGTGTTGATGAGTCTCTACCTGACCAAGCAATGCGCGACGCTCGTGGAGCAGGTCGGCATCATGTCGGGGATCGCGGAGGGAACGAAAGAGTGTGCTGAAGTAGCCGTTTTGGCTCGCTGCTTGGCCACGAGAGTCTATTGTTCCATAGTTTGCGGCGTGTATTATGGGCGAGGAGTCGACCGTGTCGTCATCATCCGAGTCCTCGGCAGTGGAAAGCGATGCCTGATCAGCTTTGTCGTTTATACCGAACAACTTCTTTGTCTTCTTTGCCAACGCTTCGACGAAGTCTTGACCAGGGTATTTGATAGGCGCGTCAGGATCCACATAGATGTAGTAACCAGTCTCTTCATCCTCCGGATGGTCGTATTCGTTCCAATACCTCTGCTGCACTTCCGGTTCAGGTTCGTCCCGGTTCATGGGTGGAGGGTATTCAGAAAACGGTCTTCGACTCTTCTTCCTGAAGGCCTGTAGTGGTGGTGGGTCGACAAATTCATGTACCGATGTTGCAGAAGACTCCTCGTAACGGGAGGCAAGTGGGCTGGATTGACCGTCATACGATGTGTTGGATGTCGAGGTTGCTGGAGGCGATAATTGAACTTGGGAGCCAGTCATACTGTCTCGCGCCCTGCGGCTCCGCTTCTTCACCGGCTCTGGAAGTTTTCGAATGTCTTTCTCGAGGAGGGAGATCCAGAAAGGAGCGGACATGGCGCTGGGCTGGCAACAAGTCCACACAGCGTGTGCTTCTAACGAGAAGCCTCGAACACGTTCAACCTGCCATTGTTAATTTATCGATCGTGTACAATTTGGAAGCACGTACCAAATGGCTCCGATCAAGGGTCTGGATAAGTGCCATTGCTTGGTTGCCTTCACGGCGGATCCCGAGAATAGCGTGAGGAAACCTCTTTGCTGATTCTGCTCGAGCAGTTGAAGTCCAATCATCGTCTGCCAGGTCTTTGTACAACGAGTCTTTCATGTAAACATCTTTGTCTAGCGTCGCCCATATACCTCCCGTTGAGTTGTTGTGCAGCCCCGTGAATCGTGTGCGTTTGGAGACCACACCAGCGATGGGCCTAGTAGACTGGTGCTCAGCAAGCCATTGTCGGACCGCCGAGGTATCATCATCGACTGATCCATTCGAGTTTCCAGTATGCTTCGTGCTACCCTCATTCGCGGATTTATCCAGGAAGTTTGACAGGCGTCTGCGGTCCATCTTTGCTGTCTTGACAGCGCCCGGCGATTGACCTTGTGAACTTGTCTCTGTTGTGCATACAACGACCGCCGCTTCACCAGTGGCGCAACACCGCACCTGACCAGCCGCCTTGATCCCGATACTCCCCTGTAGTTCTTCCGTCGCTCCAATTGTACTTGCGTTTTGTTTAAACGCGAAAGCTTCTGCGTGATCTAAGACAACGAGACCTGTCGTATCTTCGTTGCCGAAGTACGGGTCAAGATTGGCTGTGGAGGAATGACGGCGGATAGGCGTTCCCCTAACAGATGCGTTTCGCCTGGTTTTGCTGATGTACAGACGCGTATGCTGGAGTAGCAAGACTTGTGCCTCAACGATATGGTCCGGATGTATCCAATACGTTGCTTTATTGCCCTTGGAGCCCAATGGTACCGTGTTCAGTGCCAGGTCAAAGTCTAGGTCGTCGCCCTTTTCAAGAATTCTGGATATGCGAGCAGCTGAGGATTGACCGTTGGCGTTCTCGGCATTGGACGTAGAGGCACCATCCGCATCAAAAGCGGAGCGGAGTGCGTCGAGCACATCGATGTATTGATCCAAGAGATAGCCCAAATCGAGCTGGAACAAACTATCCGGCCGACCGCTAATTTCCTGCTTAAAGACATGACTGAGCTCCCTGTCCTTTGTCCAGCGCTTGTATTTCTTGAGTATCTTGATAAAGCCCGTTCGCTGGGTCACTTGGAATCGGGAGAGCGACCTGATCTCCTCTCCGGTTCTGCAGTTGTGTTAGCGAGACTTGTTCCGTCGCGTGTTCCGATGCTACCCGCGTACCTCGCGACATCTGCATCGATCTTCGCATATCTCTCCACAGTCCGCGCAGGAAGACGCCCGCTCGCCGGGTCGCGTCGTGCGCGCAGCTGGTCTAGGGTCTTGCTAATGTGCTCCAGTCTCCGCTCAATCTCGCCGCTCTTGCTCCGCACAAAGAGGTTGATGCGATCATGTTGTTGCGACAGGACATTGAAGAAGGTGTCGCCGAATGCGCGCTCGGTGCTCTCGCCCTGGCCTGGGATGGATACAGCCTTGTTCGTGCCCGGCGTCGTCTGGTGTTTGATGAGGTCTTTAAGGTAGTCGTAGTCGATGTTGTCTGTAAGCGCACATGTGTTAGCGGAGAGCGCTCCGCGTCGCGTAGTAGGACATAGCCGTAGTACTCACAATGGCCCCATTCTGGTATGGACCGCTGTCTCAATGTGTCGCCGTACTTCATGCCAACAGGTTGAGCAGTGAAAGCGGTTGAGCGAGGATCGGGCGGAGCGCGTTGTTGGGTTGCGTCACAGGAACCTTGGAAGCGAGCGAGTGGGTCTATTCACTGTCAGATAAGAAGCCTTCACGATAGCGTGGCCGTGCAATATATGGGCCTTCGACCGCACGTTCGCATAGCAAAACGATTGCACCGTTGCACCGTTGAATTGCCGGCACATTGCGCCAGACGGACTGCTTACCGTTTCCCTCAATTGGATCAAGATACCTGGGTAATAATAGCGCCGCAGTTGTGCCAAGATCTTGGGCTGATGATGCGCTGCTAACCGGGATATATGGGAACTTAGATACAAGAACAATACCAAAAAGTGATGAGAAAGAGGCCGAGCGACATGGCGCTGGTGGAAGGATGTACCCAGGTAAGTACTCCTGCCCGATTGTGAGTTCGATAGCAGAGAACTGGCTGCGATTCACGCTACCAAGGAACCTGCATCGGCGTCATCCTATTCAGGAGGTTCGTGCGCAGGGATCATCGTTACCGTTACCCACAACCCATATCCGCCATGAATCCCAGATGGCCCACTAAACATTCAGACACCGGCTATCGTATGACGAAGAGGGAACTATGTGCTTCGTGGACAACGAGCCTCGGTATTCTGGGATATTTTTTTCTCTCGCTTGGACGCCTAAAGCACAACATCGACAACGAGTATGATCGACTACAGCTAGCAGCCGGACACGCTCATTGTCTCATGTCTCCACCTTAGGAAGCATGTGAATTTCCCGTACGTCAGATAACGACCCGGCATTGGCCAAGACACGTTTGCACTGTGGCGGAGAAGCATTATGATCTCAAGTCCAAGGCGGCAATCGGCAGTCGTGGCGCGATCGTAACAGCGCTCCATGTCCCAAAGCAAAGCCTCAAGTGTGGCTTCCAGATGCGGTCAGTCTAGATCCTCAAACAGCAGGAAGTGTTACCAGAAGGAGGGATGTCAGAATGTCATTGATCTATACCGATTGGTGGAGAAGGGTATCTGGAGTAAAATTGGAGACGAAAAGCTTGCATCGACATAAAGCATCCCCACCTGCGTGGGGCGGGTTGTGGGACAACATGCCACCCGAAGACAAGGTTATAATGCGTGTCACATATGAACACTGCCACAGGATGCAGAGAAGAAATATTTTGTGTTAACCGATCTCCTCGGCATAGTAACACCGAAATGCCGACCCTACCTAACTTGATAGTCGAGAAACAACAGCGAGAACCTTTGTACTTGTTCTCTACATGATAGCAACTGCGGCCGCCGGCCACCCGTCGCAGGGACTTCGACCCATTGCCAAAGTGGACCTTCACCATGGCCCGCAAGCCCGTGGAGCCGCGGTAGCGCTGTTCGAATTGAGTGACTCCGTGGAGCCACACGACTCTGGACTTGCTAAAAGACAGACACCAGTGAGTCAAACATGATGGATGCGGGATGTATGATGAAGGTAGCCGCTAATGTTTTATCACTAACTGCACCTTTTCACATCACTCGTAACGAAGAGACGGATGTAGTGCATGTTAAATCGGACGCATGTACGATGTACGATGTATGATGTACGCTTTCAATCGGACACCTCCGACAAGCTGTCTTACTTTACCAAAGGATCAATATGCATAGCCGAGTTCCACGGGTTACGGCACTTGGAAGCCACGTTGGCGTTGCTTGTCTTAATGTCTGTATGCGTGCCTGCGCGTCTCCTATGATACCAGCCCTGCATGGTGGCATAGTGAGAGGTCGTGTGCTCACCTGCCTATATCGGTCCCGCTATAACGAACAAGGGTCTTGCATATGTAGGATTCACTAGGACGATCCTATGACATGGCGCTTGCAGCCTCCAGGCCCAGACGTCTGGAACACCAGGAAGGCTTTCTGCCACTCGCTGTGCGTATGCTGCCCACGTGGGTGATTGGGGTGGTTTTCGACACCTGAACGTAGCATGTAAGTCCGGAAAACTGTGGCAAGCTTGGATGTCATACTGCCGGTGGTAAGTTGATGCGCTTTCTGATTTTGACTCAAGATTGAGGTTTGTGGGGCAGACGCGTCGCTTGCTTGCTTGCCTGCTTCATATGGAGGACTTATCAATCGCTCTACGGTTGATTTGTGTAAGTGGAGAAACGGTCGAGGTATCTCCCAAGCGTATCACTAATGCTGATACAACAGCTTATACCTCGATACGATTCCTACGGGTCCTTGCACTTAGCAAGACCCCCTGATACCACAGTAACTCCATAGCCACCCGATCGATCTACAAGCGGAGCGTAGTAAACGTGCAATATCAGTGCTGCACATACCGAGGAGAGTTTCAGGTACATACATCACCCCTTAACACTTCATCATAGCCCACAGCAAAACTCCCTCACCGCCATCCTTCCCTCTTCCCTCCCCATCAACCTTTCCCTTTCCCACTGTGATCTCCTCCAGAATCTGAAATCCCAAATGCGCATACACGTCCCTACTCCTGGGTGATGTCGACTCCAAGACCACTGGCCAACCTTTTTCCTTTGCCATGTCAAGTACCGGACGAATGAGATCACTCACTTTGGCTGGCGTGGTAGCGGAAGGATGACTGCGGTCATTTGCTACCAGGACTAGATGTAGCACGTGAGTTGCTTGAGGTGGTAGAGCGCGCTGCCTTGCGTGGTGGGCCAGTGAGTTAAGTTCGGTCACAGCGGGTGGGTTGTGCGGCTCCGGGGTGTATGTTTCTGTGATTTCTTCTAGTTGCCTGAACCGGTATCAGTGGACTTAGACGCGAGATAAGAAGACTTTTCAATATCCAATCTCTTAAATATGTGACATTTCATGGTCAAATAGGTTTACTCACCACACACTAGCCACACCACTTCCAGGAATTGTGATCATCCTTGCTCCGCCCTTGAGGAAATCCGGTACTACAAATCCAAAAACCTCTTGATTCAACTCAACTCCTATGTCGGTTTTTTCTGATCCTTGTAGTTCATCTAAAAGAATGTAGCGTTGAAACGCATCGTCGTTGAATTGCTTGGCGAGAATTTCGATTGTGTGCTCTAACGAGTCCTCTTGAAGACCGGTGGGAATAGGGATTTGCGACATGGTCTGGAGGCCACTAGAACAATGATGGATGTTTGTCGTTGGAAAGTAGATTGTCGAACAATTTTTTTCGGGTGGTGATGCAGATGGAGGTACATGTAGGTTTGGTAGTACTGTAGTGGTTGATGGGGTCGGTCCGAATGGGAGAATGCGCCGGTCCGATATTTGACTAAGTATGACCCGGCTGGGCAATGTATACTCTGGCATGAATAGACGTTACTAGTCTCATCTCAACAACTGCTTCTTTCCACGAGGCTTTACCGGCTCGCCCTTCGGTACTTGTCAAAACGCCGTGGTTTGCTTCAACCTCACGCACAGCGACTGGGCTCGTGGGGTAGGAATTGGGGCATATCATATGCATGTAGATACATCACTCATAGTACGTCTCAAACTACTTCAAAGAGAAATGTGATTGGTCTCAAACGAATGAGCCATGCTTCGCCTCCATTGAACGCTATACTATACACGTACATCAAACGCCCGCATATGTTGACACTGAACAAACTCGATACCACCCGTGCCTCAAGATATTTAGCCTGGAGGGAGCAGGCTGTTATCAACAACGTCCTGTGCCTCCATCTCCTCGACCTCAGCACTGTTGTGGAGCGGGGAACGCGGTAGGGCCATGAGTCCTGTACTCGATTAGCGATTTGGCTATACCGGGATATCCGATCCTGCTTACCGGTCCTTGCAGATTCCAAGATTCCGAAAGGAGCAATCAACTTCATGAAGGAATCAATCCTGGTGGGCTTTGCCGATACCTCTACGATGCAGTTGTTTGTGCTGATATCGAGCACCTTTCCACCGAACTGATGAGTCATGAAGGTGATGGCGCGCAGATGCTCGTGCTTGTGTCGGAGCGCCTGGCTCACCGGCAGGTTTGTCGGGTGGTAATCTTTCCTCAGAGACTCGCGAGCAGCCTCCTGCGCCATTGCGTTGCGCTCCTCATCTGTCATGTCTGGTTCATATGACTCCTCCATGTCAGGCGCCTGGGCCATCTCTCGGTGGTGCGCAAGCAGCTCTTCGAAGTACTCAGGGCCGAGAATAGAGACCTTTGCAAGGAGAAGTTCGCGCTGAACGAGGGGCGATTGGGTGTAGTCCAGCACAGCCCACACTGGGACCAGGTCCTCGAGCTGGCGGCGGGCTTGCTCCACAACACCATCTTGTCCTTGCAGCACAATTGTCATGCGGGAGAGGTCATCCACCTCGGTGTTGCAGACAACCAGACTGTCGATGTTGAAGCCACGGGCGGCCAAGATACCGGAGACACGGGAGAGCACACCGGGCTCGTTTTGTACCAGACAGTTGAGGATGTGACTCTTTGGGGGAGCTTGGGAGGGGAGCGGGGTTTCGTAGAGGATGTTGCTGACGGCAGCCGGCGCTGACCAGGCAGGAGGGCGGTCCTCGGTGGGAAGAGGTGCGATGCGACGGTGAAGGGCCTTGTAGGCCAAGGCCTGGGTGGACGAGGAGCTGGATGCTCTTTGTTGCTGGCGGAGGGAGCCGGCGCATTGTCTGTTGAGCAGACTGCGCAGAGGCAGCATTGCCCGCCGAGAAGCCATGACGAACAGGTGGTCACGGGTGAAGGCGGTTGAGGCTGCTTGGTGTCAATGTCCAAGTTGGAGGGCAGCCCCAGAAAGTGAAATAGAATCCCCGGCCGATTGTCGGAGTAGGTGCGAACAGGCAGGGCCAGCCGCGGCACGCTAATAAGCGAGTCGCTCCTGCCAGAGCCTAAGATTCATCTCCAACACCAACAACTGCGAGCCTCAACCGCAACCAAGACGTCGACCATCACTACGAGCAACTGCACCATGTCTGACGAACGCCGTCCCCGATCGCGCTTCGACAGCGACGATGGCGAGCGCCCTGCACGCTCGCGCTTCGATACAGACCGTCGCTCTAGGTCGCCGTCGCGAAGGGAGTCCGAGTCGCATCGCGCCCGTAGCCCTGTCGCCCGTGAAGGCACAGACAGCCCTGCATCGTCCAACTTCAAGAACGACGCTGCTGCGAGGGCGGCGGCTGCGGCTGCCAGGATCAACGCGCAGATTCAGGCGAAGAAGGGCATCCAGCATGTCGACGTGCCACCTATTCGCTCTGTATGTCCACTCTACCCATCCATATGCGGCCGTCGCTGACAGACTCCAGGCCGCTACTCCTCCAGTCGCCAAGTCGCCTGCCTCCAACTCCGCAGCGGCCATAAACAACGAGACGTACCAGCAGGATGGTGACTACATCAAAGACATTGAGATCAATGATCTCCGTAACCGCTATACACTGACCAAAGGAGCTACACAAAAGAGGGTAAATAACTGTTTTTGCTGTCCACTGATCGTCTAGGATCATGCCTTCTTCATGCTCTGCAGCGCTACGCCTCTGGTGACCGTGTTGCGGGGCTGAAGTTGGTCCCTGTTTGCGCATCTCTCTATGAGAGTCAGAGCTTACTTGATCTTCTAGCGCCCCACCCATCTATCAAATGCTAACCTCCATGTGCCATCTAGATCAAAGACGAGACTGGCGCCGGTACGCATATCCCGATTACAATCATTAACCCTTTAGAATACCTGCTTATACATGCAAGATGTAACCACTCGCGGAGAATACTACCCTGACAAGAACATGGCAACTGCTACTGTACGTGAGCAAGTCACACATTCATGGGCTATGCTAATCTCGCAACAGAACCCGCCGCTGTACCTCCGTATTACTAGCACCTCCAAAGAAGGCCTGGACAAGGCTGTAGAAATGATCGAGGAGATGATGAAAGAAGACCTTCCTAACCTGGTAGACGAACGTCGCTTCCGTCGTAGGGAGCCCGAGAACTTTGAGCGCGATGAGTTTGGTCGAGTACGATATCCTTGTCAACTCAGCAAACATGTTGCTAACTGTTTCTAGCGCAAGTGGCCCGAAGAGAAGATCTCTGTAGGTCTCGAGCCCATTAGCGGCTTTAACTTGCGCGCACAGGTTGTCGGTCGCGGTGGCGATAACGTCAAATTCATCCAGCAGGAGACAAGCTGCAAGGTCCAGATCAAGGGTCGCGGTTCTGGTTTCATGGAACCAAACAGCGGCCAGGAGAGCGACGAGCCCATGTATCTCCACATCGCGTTCGTACACTGGTGCCAATTCCCTTGTTCGCACTGCTGACAGATTTTAGTGGACCTCGTCCTGAAGGTGTAGCTCAAGCGAAGCAGCTTTGTGAAGAGCTCCTCGAGAAGGTAAAATCGGATTACCACGCGTACAAGGAGCGCCCACCACCCAACCGTTACGGCGACCGAGATGGCTATGGTGGCGGACGACCCGGATACGGTGACCGTGGTGACCGCGATCGCAGCCAGAGCTACGGATATGGTGGAGGAAGCGGCGGGGGCGGTGGCTACGGCGGTGGTGGCTACGGCAGTCAGGGAGGTCACAACGGTTACGGCGCACAAGAGACTATCATGTCCCCTGCTGCTGCTACACCGACCGCTGATACCAACCAACAAGCCTTTGACGCGAATGCTGCACAAGCATGGATTGCTTACTACCAGCAAAACCCAGAGGCTGACCCTTATGCTGCGTATGGTGGGTATGCGGCGTATCTCGCACTTCAGCAACAGCAGTACGCTGCGTACTACGGCCAGACTGGTGCTCAGACTGGTTATGGACAGACACAGTCTCCAGCTCCCGGTGCTGGCGCGGCTGCACCACCTCCGCCACCACCTTCAGAACCTGCTTCTGGCTATGGCTCTGCTCCGCCGCCGCCTCCACCAGCTGCATCGCCCTCCAACTACGGAGCGGTCCCCCCACCTCCTGGCTTGTAAGTGTGGAGCAACGACTATGATCTCGCGCTTACGACAGCCTTTCAACTTGACTTGATTGATTCAACCTAGTTCGATTTGCCTTTGCGTATTGACTCACAGTGTGGTGGATTTGGTTGCAAGAGTTCCTCTATCGCTTCGGCGCGTTTAGTTTCGTCATTGTTTGATACGCGCACGGAGCACCGTCTTGGGCACGGTAATAGTCTGCCGATTTGGAGTTGGCACTTTATGCAGGATACCGATGCCATTGCTTTAGTATACAGCTTTAAAATGGTTCAGCTTCGTATCATACCATGTACTTTTGGTGATGACTTTGACGTGTGGCTTGATTGGTCGAAGTAGCAGGGGTCGGTCGTTGGTTCCCCATGCCCGGCTCGCGTGCGTTGACCTAGTCTTGGTGTCCATGCCTCGGAGCGAAGTCGCTCGGAATCGTCGCTCGGAGCATTTGAAAATGATGATTCGTACACGCCACAGACAAACTACAGGATGCGGTCGAATATACTTCGCGCCGGCCAAGCAGCCAACTGCAGAGTGAGTGTTCTTGTGTGCAATTGGCAATTCAAGCAGCCTTGAAACTCGATGCGACTTTTGTAGTCATCGCCGTCGCATTTCTTCACTGGACGTACAAGTGGCACAGAACGCTGACAGAACTCCAAAGCCTCACCTACTCTCCTCTCTGCGCCAATCGTCCTTCCAAGCGCGAAGATGTCTAGCCACGAGCCACGACCCGCCCACTGCCCGTAATGTCGACCTCGCCTCCCGCACCCCACCCTACGCCAAGTTGCTCTCTCGCCTTGAAGAAGTACGGCGCGTACTGGGATCTTCACGACAATTGACTTTGGCCGAGAAGATTCTCTACTCGCATCTTGAGAGTCCGGAGGAGTCGCTTATGAACAACACAAATGGTGGAAGGAACATCAGAGGTCAGGCAAACTTGAAATTGAAGCCGGACCGCGTTGCTATGCAGGATGCCAGTGCCCAGATGGCTTTGTTGCAGTTCATGAGCTGCGGGCTGCCGAGCACGGCGGTCCCTGCTAGTATACATTGTGAGTAGCCCTTGCGAATGAAACATCGTCTAGGCACATACTGACCAAATATATAAGGCGACCACATGATAGTAGTCAGTAGCACCCTCGAGGCCGTACAAGATATACCATGAGCACCTCGCTGATCAGACTTCACAGGGAGAAAAAGGTGCTGACACCGACCTTCCACAATCGATTGCGGGTAACAAGGAGGTCTTCGATTTCCTCGAGTCGGCAGCGAAGAAATACGGAATTGAATTCTGGCCACCAGGCGCTGGTATCATCCATCAGTCTGTGCTGGAGAACTACAGTGCCCCTGGCTTGATGATCTTGGGCACAGACAGCCACTCCCCGAATGCTGGAGGTTTGGGATCAATCACAATCGGTGTCGGTGGTGCGGACGCAGTGGACGCCCTAGTGGATGCGCCATGGGAGCTCAAGGCACCTAAAATTCTGGGTGTGAAGCTCACTGGAGAACTCAGCGGATGGGCTTCCCCGAAGGACGTAATCTTGAAGTTAGCTGGCGAGCTGACCGTCCGGGTATGTGGTTTTGAGTAAAGCGAGATATTCCAGGCTAATGTATGCTTAGGGTGGCACTGGTTTCATCATTGAGTACTTCGGACCTGGTGTGCAGTCTTTGAGCTGCACTGGTATGGCGACTATTTGGTAAGGCTCGTATATAAGCTCCACGCGCATCATAAGTTCTAACACATTATAGCAACATGGGTGCCGAAGTCGGCGCAACTACCTCGCTCTTCCCCTTCTCTCCTGCACACATCCCCTATCTCCAAGCCACACATCGAGGACCGATCGCTGAGGCTGCTCAAAAGATTGCCAATTCACCAATGCAGCAGAACCTCCTCCGTCCCGATGCGGAAGCCGCTTACGACAAGGTTATTGAGATTAACCTCTCAGAACTTGAACCACACATCAACGGACCATTTACTCCTGATCTATCAACACCTCTTTCGAAGTTCAAGTCAGTAGTGGAAGAGAAGGGGTGGCCACAAACCTTCGGCGCTGGTCTCATTGGTAGCTGCACGAACAGCTCTTACCAGGACATGACCCGATCAGAAGAGATCGTGAAGCAGGCATTGGCAGCTGGCCTTAAGCCCAAGGCGGATTTCTTCATTACCCCTGGCAGCGAACAAATCCGTGCAACGTTGGAACGGGATGAAACCCTCCAGACGTTCACTGAAGCTGGAGGTACTGTGCTGGCGAACGCTTGCGGGTAAGTTTGTCAATATACCTCGATGGACTTCCAGTGCTAACAACCTTAACGTCCTTGCATTGGACAATGGAAGCGTACCGACGACGTAAAGAACGGCGAATCCAACGCTATCTTGACCTCATACAACCGCAACTTCCCCGGTCGTAATGACGGCAACCGAGCAACAATGAACTTTCTGGCTTCTCCTGAGCTCATCACCGCTATGTCGTACTCTGGCTCCACGACCTTCAACCCAATGACTGATTCTATACCGACGCCAGACGGCAAGCCTTTCAAGTTCACGCCACCAAAGGGCTCTGACCTCCCCTCTGCCGGTTTTGCAGACGGTAATCCTGACTTCATGCCTACACCGGGTGTCCCAGACCCTAGCGTAGATGTTATTGTCTCACCCACCTCTACCCGCCTGGCGCTCCTGGATCCGTTCCCAGCATTCCCTGACTCCGACTTCACAGGCCTAAAGGTACTGTACAAGGTCAAGGGACAATGCACAACAGACACCATTTCGGCTGCTGGACCATGGCTCAAGTACAAGGGCCATCTGCCCAACATCTCTGAGAACACACTTATCGGCGCTGTCAACGCGCAGACAGATGAAGTCAACGTCGCCTACGACTTAGATGGCAAAACATCAGGGATCCCAGAACTAGCAAAGAGGTGGCGCGATCAGGGCATCGAATGGCTCGTCGTAGCAGAGCACAACTACGGTGAAGGCTCTGCACGTGAACATGCTGCCTTGCAACCCCGGTACCTTGGTGGTCGTGTCATCCTCGCCAAATCCTTCGCCCGTATCCACGAGACCAACCTCAAGAAGCAGGGTATCGTCCCTCTGACTTTCGCCAACGAAGCCGACTACGATGCGTTCGAAGCTTGCGACGAAGTCGCCACAAGGGGATTGTTGGACGTACTGAAGAGCGGTGGTAAGGGCGAGGTTGAGCTTGTCCTCAAGAAGAAGGATGGTAGCGAGAAGGTTGTCAAGACCAAGCACACTCTGTCGCAAGATCAGTGTGGCTTTGTGCTTGCTGGTAGCGCACTGAACCTTCTGGCCAGAAAGGGTAGGGAGATGAAGGAGGAAGTCACTCGGAGTGCCGAGCTAACTGACTGAGTCGTGTGCAATAAGTTTGGATGTGTAAAAGTGAGCATGTAAATGGCGCTATTGGTGTCACGGCGCATAGACAATCCTAGCAACAACAACCTTTATTTCAAGTCAGATGTACTATCCTTGATGAATGACTTGCGAAGTGTGATAGATGACGGGCTCCTGCGAAGCTTTAATGTTCTTATATGCCTCCCCACCAAGCAAAAACTCATGTCTAGCAAACCTCACCAGTCCACTCACTCCATCGCTTCTTACACAAGAAGCATGCAACCAACAACACATTGAGAGCATGACGCAAAAAAAGGCAAAAAAGCATCTCGGGCGGGGCTCGAACCCGCAGCCTTTGGATTAACCATGGATACAGTTAGTAGAAGTCCAACGCGCTACCATTGCGCCACCGAGACCGTCAAGCGGAAATAGAGACTTCTGGCAAATTTCTCAAAATTGATCGATTATATACCACTCGTGTTGTGCTTAGAAGCACCATGTAGATGGTCATCAAGTTCGGTTGAGTGAAGTTTCCATGCGAAGGCTGCCACGTCACACGCCAAGTGGGGTGTGCAGACATGGTTCTCCTTGTCCGATTCAGGCATGTTGTACCGAAGCAAAACCAACGTGTGTGCGATGTTAGCACGACCAAGCTTACTTCGTCGCTACTCATGGTTCTAACATCGGTATAATTCCTTGAGCTTCAAGGTAATCATTACGCATATCCTTTTATACGCTTCTAGCACCACGATACAGTATGTCCTAGTGCTCGGCGAATCATCAGCTGAGCTCGCACGCATTATAGGTATTCTAGTCTGCTTAGTCTAGTCGCCATGAGCTCGCGGTTGATGGGAAGGTCAAGCAACTGGTATCAAGACTCCCCAATCTTCTGAACCATCTCTAACAAGACCTCATCCGTCAGTTCTAACCTAGTTTCATCGTCACCCTTCTTCCGCTTCCACACCTCCTGAAGCTGTAGGCGGTTTGACTCCCAACTAACCCATGCAGCAGCTTGTAAGAAACAGTCTGTGATATCATCCAGCTTCTTGAGTTGACCTTGTGTGGGAAGTGTATCTGTTGAGACTCTTTTAGCTTTCTTAGGCTTTCTTGACTCTAGTGGTCCGCACAGCGCTTCACGGGTAGCTTCGGCGCCTGGCGTTATGCTGAACATTATGCTTGGTATCGAATCGCGTGTTACAGATGCTGTGGAAGCAGGTGTTGAAGTGAGCCATGAGCGAAGGAGAGCGATCTTGGCTTGTTTCTCTGCCTTGGTTCGACTGGGCTTCTTTTTTGCAACTGACTTGTCTCCTTCCTCTCCGCTTCCCGCTTCTAGACCATCCCTGGATCTATCGGTCTTCTCGTCCATTTCCGGAGAGTTCCTAGTCGCCCGAGTGAGCCAGTATTGTCCCACACGTTTCGGATCTGCACTGAAGACCTCGTACACATTTCCTGTACCCAATGCTTCAGCTCCCCCATTCAGCCGCTCTGCATTCATAGTTTGCAGTACCGCCCACAACATGCCTTCTAAGGTGTTGACGCGGAGAGTCCACTGTTGCACTGCACTGCTACCGCCAGATCTCCACCTCTGCTTTTCTATCAAGATGATATCTGGTGACCCTGTCAGAATGGTGTTCCTGAGCAATCCATACGCTGTCTTGGACAAAGCATCCACAGAGTATGGGTCTGACTCTTCATCAGCACTCGCCGTATCTTGCTCTGTAGTTGTAACTTCTGATCGTTCGTGAATGTCATCATGTGTGGCTTTAGTAAGATTGATCTTCTCCCATCTAAGAATCTCCATTCCCGCATCTAGGCTATTCGTGAACGGATAGGAAACTTCTGCCTCACAGAACGCCAGATTCTTGATTCCCATATCGATGCTCATGATGCGGAATTTCTTGCTTGCGGACTCTAATGTTCTCCATGGTGATTGGCTGTCAGGAAGTCGAGGCTTTCCGATAACGCGTTGGAAACGCTCTTGGAGTACTGCCTTTGTTCCTGATGATGGTGCGCCGATATGTACGAGTAGTGATTGCAGCGCTTTCGCCGTTATAGCGCGGGATTTTGGTGCCATTGGCACTGACAGCCTTTTGTCGGCGTTCCAGGGATTGAGCAATTCAGATGGTCCCCAGAAAGGTATTCCATTGACTTAGGCGTACGGAGACAGAGAAAAGCGTACTAGGCATCGTAAACCGTGATGCGTTGATAGAAATATGCAAGATGAGCAGCGAAGACCGAACAAATGTAGTCATAGTATCATATCCTGGACTTCATCGTGTGAGGATGTGTTGGCGGAGAAAGTTCGTAGGTGGAAAGATGGGAAAAAAGTCGCAGTAGACATGTCTTGATTTAGCGTGGAGCGTATCCACGTGACGCGGTCACTGAAACTACAAACTTCAAGTTCAAATACAAGTTTGTTGTGTCAAGAGAAATGTGTCTTATTCTTCCGGGGATATCATATCGTTATCATATTCCTAACACTCATGCGCTCAATGCAGCATAAGCCTCCATCTTCCTAAAGCTAGTACCAAACTCGGTCCCCATACACTACGAAATGACCCATCTCTTTTCCTCGGCTACCCTTCGCAGATGAGATCAAAGTCTGGGAAGTCTGGATCAGGCCCGATATTTGTACTCGCAACTGCACTATTAAAGTCCTTGACTTGCGCGTTCTTCTGCGCATCGTTGCACTTATCTATCAAGAATGTTAGCTATGCTTGCGCTCTTCACAGTCGACTTCCTCCCAAGTCTTAGAAACGGAAGAAAAAGCTTGACTCACTTTTCTGCTCGTCACAGTCGTTCACGCTCAGACCGCTGCCATCCTGCCTCTTCTTCCCCTTCTTCCCCTTGTCGCCACCTCCTCCACTCTTGTTTGCAGTATCACTACACCCTTTAAATTGATTATCGCAACTTCTCTGTGCCGCAGTATCGAAACTGGTAAACGTATCCCCGTCGACTTGGAACGGACGTTCTTTGTCTCCAGAATTTGTGATGGCGGATGCACGCGTCCCACCAAGGTTGCCGTCGAAGGTCTGCAAGTTGGACAGTTGACGAAGGAAGAGTTGATGGCGGGGTACCAAGGACATTTCCCAGTCTGAGGAGATGAGAGCGGGTTGTGGAGATGCGTGGGAAAGGGCGGGGAGTGCGAGGTGGATCAGAGCAAGGAGAGCTGTGGGGAGAAACATGATTGCGTACTAATCGTTCCCGGTTGAGAAGTATGCTTGAGGATGATGTGCCGGGCGTGGTTCCTGTCCGTCGAGAAGACTGCCGGACGTGAATCTCGCCGTTAATGAATCCTGCCTAGACGGAACGATTGCGGTGCTCAATGATATAGCCGGGCGTAAAAGTTATCGGTAATGATTCTTGCCGGTACTCGAAAATGTCGGTGTTTAAAGATGTTGCTGTGCGTGAGAGAGGACGGTACTGATTATCGCTAGGCGTGAAAAATGTCGTACGTAAATCCTCCTTAATTCCAGAATCGGTAAATATCCTATTAGAGTATATCGGCACTGCCTGTATATACAAAGAACTAATCGCAGCCAAATGAGTGTGAATATCGAACAGTGTTCACGGAGAAACCCAGAGTAAAAGACCAAATCCCAGCCTCAAAACACCCACTGGGGTCAACTGCATCTAAGTAACGCCAAACCCCTCCATCTCCGAAGCGCCGAACATGCATTTCTCATGCCAAACGAGTTTGGGGCCCAGCGGTCACAAAGCTTGTTTAGGAAGCATCGTGGTGGTTGCTGCGACAGTGCTGAAACACGACCATGGCCAAACCCCTGGACACGCATGACATGCGCACACGTAGACATTCGAAGGGAAGAACAACACCCTGTATGAGAATAAAGGAGCGCATGAGAGTAATGATGTAATAGATGAATGATTTTGACAATCTGATCGAATTCGCTATGGGGGGTATGACTATGCTAAAACAACAAAAGAAGGCAAGAAAGACATGCCACGCTCGATTACAACAAGTTAAACAGGTGAACGAAGCAAGTGCGACGACACTGACAGGACGAAAAAAATAATGCTTGGACGAAAGTGGCCAGCTATCTCTTCCTGAATTGATGGTATACGTCTAATTTACATGTGTGCAATCTTGTACAGACTGACCACGATGCGACGGTATACACTAATCTGCATCGCGAATCAGCACCTGTGATGTACCATACTCACGCAAACCATATTCAGTAATAAAAGCACCACCTCCAGATCCGACTGTTAAAGCCGTGTTTGCGCCGTATGTACAAGCTCCATATTGCTCTCGTCTCTCAAAATCGTTTCCAGTTCAGACAAATTCCGCAGATAGTCGTTGGTATCATAACGGACCCTCGCAACAGGCCTATGTACTTTTTGCGGGCTGCGCTTCGCCTAGAAGTTAGCAGCCGCATTGGGGCGTCCTCCAGGGTTGTGGTATTGCTCGAGGTTCGACTGGAAGGGCGACGATCCAGTGCCGTTCTGTGGCTTGTCACCAAGGGCTGAGCCAGTGCCGGCCATGAGGTCATCGTCGTCTTCGTGGACACGCGCTTGACGCTTCTTCATGCGCCAGAAGACGAGAGCAATACCACCGAGGAGGAGGGCACCGCCTACACCACCGACAACGCCTCCAATGACCTTCTTGTTGGAATCGCTGATGCCACCGCCATTGTCGCTGTCGCCTGCCTGTGCAGTAGGTGGGTCTGTGACAACGGCTTGCCCAGTGGTGGCAAGGGAAGTGCTGGTGCCTGTCGAGGTTGCGGTGGTTACTTGGCCATTCTCGAGAGTCGAGGTGACGGTCCTGGTGTACTCTGAAAGGGAAGTTGAAACGAGAGGTGTAGTCCTGACAACCGCTGTTGTCCTTAAGGAAGAGCTGGCCTCCCGGGTAGGGGTTGCTGAGTTACCAGCGCTCCCGCCACCACCGGTAGCACTTGTGCCTTCTGCAGACGTTCGGGTGTTGTCGTTGTTATTGTTGCTATTGTTGTTGTTATTGTTGTTACCGCCATCGGTAGTTGGTGTTGCTGCAGGAGTCGAAGCCGGAGGAGCGTCAGATGTGGGGTCATCGGAAGGTGCTGGATTGTTCGTGGTTGAAGGTTCTGGCTGAGGAGTCGCTGACGTCGCTGGTGGCGCGGCTGACGATGTGGCAGGAGGGGCGGCGGATGAAGCTGGCGGTGCAGCTGATGACGTTGCGGCAGCGGCAGATGCTGAAGAGGCGCCGGTGCCTTCGGCGTCTTGCCTCTTGCCCTGGTGGATGTACTGATTGATGCCGTCCATGTGAAGATCCTCCAGCGTAAAGGCCGACGATGCGACAGTGAGGACAAAAACCGACAGCCAGGCCTTGGGCAACATGTTGTGCGGGTTGTTGAAGGAAACAGGCAGAGAGTGGTAACTGGTTTTTACTCTGGAGCTGACGCGCGTTTCACGAACAGGCGATTAGTTGTATTAAGGGGGGGCGATACGGGTGAAAGGCGCGTAGGCTCCTGTAGTTATGTGTATGTATATATCAAGCGAATAAACGAGGGCACGAATGTGAAGTGACAATAGAAGACTGAGCGAGTGTCGAACCGGAAGCCGGTGGATGTGCTTGCTAAGGTGACGAGGAGAAAGTGGAGCGACGAGTGATCACGTCTACACCCAAATTTAGGTCCGGAGAGCGCACTAAGCCGGACCCGACGCCCTGCAGCGCACTCAGCCGCCCACAAGGGTTCTAGAGCTTTGACAGACGGACCCTCTAAAACGGCCAGCAACAGACGAGTCATTTCCCCTTCGAAGACTTTGCATAATCAATCATGTTGACGGTGAGTAGTCTGAGCATGCAGTGGCTCCATGGCTTTGGCGCGTGAATAGCAGTGTTGCGTGTCCTTGTATAAGCCACCGCCTTCAGTCTTGTGCCACGCTTCACAAGAGTTCAACACCCTACAGTGCAAGCCAAGCGCATTCCGTAAACATGTCGACAACCAATTGTTCGAGTGCAAACATTCTTCATAGAAAGCCTCGCGGGCGCGCCTCGGGTTTTAAAACAAACCATGGCAGTGCGCATCGCAAAGTCTAGGCAGTCCAGGAAAACCCCGAATGAAAAATGTGCATCCTCAACAGAAACGCCAGCAATTTGCCATAGGCATACATGACCCCGAATCCCGTACTACAGCACTACTAGCCCACTGCTGCTTTTTGACCCTTCCCTCGTCTTCAGCCTGGTCGCATGGTGCCTTACAAAATCACCAAATACCATTCGTCAACAATCTTTCCAATCTGCTACTTCGGTTCCCGTCTCCACTCCCTAAGAGGCTACCTCGGCTGGACTGGTCTGCTTCCGGCATTCCCTCCGTCTGGACCTGCGTCATATCGTCAAGCCTTGCTGCACGATTTCCTGCACGCCCTTGTAACAGAAGAAAACTATTATTGCGTCTATTTGTATAGGTCGCACGACGCGCTGTGTGGGCAAATACCGTAACGCACCATGCTCGCTGCAGTCATGTCTCATCACAGTCTGCCGCTGACTACTCACGAGGCGCTGTCGGGTGTCTTCGGCTCAATCTCGTTAGCTTCATGGATCTTCCTGTTGGTGAGTAACAATTGATACAACCTCGTTGTCCTCATCTCCCTAAACATGGGTGGCTTTCGCCATGTATCTCTGATACTGCCTGTGCTATTCATGGAACCGCAACTAGATCTTCGGGCACGCGACACCATACATCACCGTACTCTAATCTAACCACCAACTGCAGGTCCCACAACTAATTGAAAACTACAAATCTGGCTCTGCAGATGGCATCTCCCTCGCCTTCCTCGCCGTCTGGTTCATTGGCGACGTGACGAACCTCGCGGGGGCTCTCTGGGCCGGTCTCGTCCCTACCGTCATCGCCCTCGCCGTCTACTTCTGCTTCGCAGACCTCGTCCTCATCTCGCAATGCGTTTACTACAACATGAAAAACTCGCGCCGTGGCGATCGCAAGACTTCCACGCAGTCTACCAATAGCATCGAGGCGCCTTTGCTCGGTCGCCGCGACAGCAGCAACATTGGCTTGCCTGGCAGTCACAGGCGCGATTCTGCTGCGAGCCGCAGGCGCCGCGCAAGCTCTCTCCCTACAATCCCCGATGTCGGTGACGGTGCCAGTGAGTGGGTAAAGAACGCGTTGAGCATCGTGGGAGTCTGTGTTGTCGGCGCAGCGGGATGGGCTATCGCGTGGAAGACTGGTGTTTGGGTCCCGCAACCCCAGCACAACACCGAGGATGCCTCGGACAACCCGGTCGGCGCAATGATCTTGGGATACGCGAGCGCAGTGGCTTATCTTGGGGCGCGCATCCCTCAAATCATCAAGAACCAGCGGGAGAGGTCTTGCGAAGGCTTGTCGCTGCTCTTCTTCATGTTGAGTTTGCTGGGCAATGCTACCTATGGCGCAGGAGTAAGTCCACCCACGTTGTTACTCATAGCTAGAAATACCAGACTAACATCACACAGATTATCTTCCATTCGCAGGAAAAGGACTACATACTCACCAACCTCCCTTGGCTCATCGGCTCTCTCGGTACAATGGTCGAAGATGTGACTATCTTCGTCCAATTCCGCGTTTTCGGTAACGGCGAGGCATCTTCTGCCCTTGAGGCTTGATGCGTTCTGCTGCGTCTATAAACGATCATTCGTGTCTTACGGTTGGCGTTGTTGCATCTACCGCTGGATGACGGTATGATCTACTAAAAAGTTTGTGTGTGTACGTACTTGCATCATCAGTCTTCGATACCCAGTACAAAAAAAAGAGACCTGTGTTTGAGCGCCATTGGCGAGGTAATGTTGTATCATGAAGCTAGATTTTGTTCACCAATCTAAAGGATTAATTACATCCCATAGTTAGTCGTCACGACGTTGCGCATCATAAAGTTCATGCAGAATGATACATTGATGTGCTGAAGACAGAACCTTGACAGACTCCCCATGGGGTATATCTCACCCCTAAGCAGTCTATAAGCGCCAGAAGAGACATGAAATAAGATCCATAGCTTCTACCATATAAGCCCCGTTCCATAATGCCGAAAGAACTGTCTACTTAGCATGGCTGTACTTTTGCTCGTGAACACCGATGGCACTGTGATATGTTAGTCTTGCATCTAGCACAACATGAAGAGGGAAACTCACCGTCCAGAAGGATCCGTCTGGTTGCTCCAGGTAGGTGTCCATCGCATAACAGTATCGGCACAGTAGCTGGGGAAGTGCTCGTCAAACATGCATCTGTACCAGTATGCCTCCTTAGTATCGGGGATGTCGTTACCCCACTCCTTCTTTGGGTTCTTCATCATCTCGTCGGTGACGTGTAGCTCGGCGTTGTCCTTGAGCGCATCGATCCATCCGTAGCCTACACCGTCAGAGAACTGCTCCTTTTGTCTCCAGAGGATCTTCTCGGGAAGGTAAGGCTGCGTCTCTGGCTCGTCGGTTGTGTCGAAAGCTTTGCGTAGGATGTACTTTTCAATACGGCCGGCTTCGCGATCGATAATCTTGTCCTGAGGATCGATGTTCATTGCTGTGTTAAGGAAGTCCTTGTCGAGGAAGGGCACACGCGCCTCAACACCCCAAGCAGATGTTGACTTGTTGGCGCGAAGACAGTCTGCGAGATGAAGGTTCTTGACACGGCGGATACATTCTTGGTGGAAAGCAGCCTTGTCAGGCGCGTTGTGGAAGTAGAGGTATCCACCAAAGATTTCGTCACTGCCTTCTCCTGAAAGAACCATCTTGACTCCCATAGCCTTGATCTTTCTGCTGAGAAGGAACATGGGTGTTGAGGCGCGGATAGTTGTTACATCGAAAGTCTCAAGGTGGAAGATGACATCTGTAAGTGCGTTGAGTCCGTCTTCGATAGTGAAGGTGAATGTGTGGTGCTTGGTTCCGAGGAAGTTGGCCACTTCCTGCGCAGCGATACCATCGGGAGAGTTGGGCAAGCCGATAGAGAAGGAGTTGAGCTGTCCTAGGAGCAGATCTGTCTGAAGCTCGTTGGAGTCATCGATACCGACAAGTTGGTTCTGCTGTTCGCTGGCGTTGCCAGTCGATGCAGCAGCCTTCTTTCTTGTCGCCTCGTTCAACCGCAGAGTTTCCCGCTGAGCGATCGAAGCCACCAAACTTGAGTCAAGACCACCAGAGAGAAGTACACCAAAGGGAACCTCCGCCATCATGCGTTTCCGCACCGATCGCTCCAATGATTGCCTCAGCTCCTTGTAGTCTACAGGTTTTGTAGGAATGTTCTCGGGCTCGACGAGCCACTTGGGGTCGTAGTATCGTGTGAGCGAGTCTGTCTTCGAGTCGTAGACATGACCGGGAGGGAAGGAGATGATGTTGTCGCAGACGGGATGTAAGCACTTCAGCTCAGAAGCGAAGAACACGGCGCCTGGTGTAGTGCTCGATCGACCCATGTAGAAGGTAGTGATGCCAATGGGGTCGCGTGCTGCGATCACACGATCTTGAGCCTTGTCGTGAAGGACCCATGAGAACATGCCGTCGAGTTTTCGGGGAGCGTCGATGTCATGTTCAAGATACTGCCGCCAGTCAGCCTCTCTCCGCCGTAAAACATGTTCCAGGTCTTACCAGAGGAATGATAACCTCGCAATCTGAGTGTGTCTTGAAGTTGTATGGGTTCTTGAGGGACTTGCGGAGAATTCGGTGGTTGTAGATCTCGCCGTTGACAGCCAGAGAGACGGTTCCCTCATCGTTGACGAGCGGCTGAGCGCCAGAGTCTAATCCGCGTAAGCTTCCGTCAAAAGCAACGATTTCTGTGTGACTCCTTACCGACGCCGACAATGCTCAAGCGCTCGTGTACCAGAACTATTCGTATTTAGTACTGTATATGCCTAGAGGCTCTTACAGTCACTCACTGGTGTCGTTCGCAACCCAGTTACCAGCTGCAAAGTGTCAGTCATCATGTACTTGATCGCACAGAGAGTCATCATGATGCTTACACCAATCTGGACCTCGGTGGCTTGTCGATCAGTCAGCATAGAAGTCCTTGTGGTGAATTTGGCTAACTGAAGGTTTAGGCGGATTTACACACCGGACACTGCGCGCAGTTAGTCAATTGGAAACTCTCACGGGTTATGGGGGGTAGACTTACGCCTTGCCCATTTTCAGGGCAGTCGGCTTGAACTTTTGCACATCGGGGTGCCTGTGGGGAAGTTAGTCATGTATCAACATAGTCGCAAACACCTGGTGTTGAAGCAATGCAACGTCTGGAGGGGCAATTGCGGGCGCAGGACGGGTGTAGCATACCTGTAGCAGGCGAAGATACCACACATCTTTACTGCTGGATTGATTTGGAAGGGGAGGGAAGGCAATGTCAGAGCGAAGAGGGGAGATCAGGGACAGCCTTTATCGTGGCTAGAAATTGTTATAGAGTCATATCGCCCGCCCGAAGTCGCCGCAGGCCAGCTTGTGCCCCACATTTTCACTGCCAACCCCGAGCGCGTTCAGACCGCGGGATTGGCAGTATCCACTATCTTGTACTTGTAAGGATATGACGTTGGGAACCGTGGGCAGTCCGTGACTCCACAAGTTTGTTCGCACTCGTTTTGTGCATGCTCAAACGCAACCCCACAACTGCCATGGAGGAGTCGCATCTTCCTATTGGCCAGTGCACTTGCGAACATCGCCGTAACGAGAGAGTCACCACGCGACACGGTCAGGGTGCAAGGTGAAATATACGTAGACATTATCTGTGTGTTTAACAATTTCAAGACTTTGCAGCTCCGAATTATGTAGCTGTTGATACATGGATACTTTCCACACCAATGTGTTCATGCCTCCCAAGCAGCTGCTACTCCGTGTGCGTAACCAACGACAGACCCTTGTCCAAGCAAGAAATACCCAAATGGGAAAGAAATGCACCTATCCATCCTTTCGTCCAGCGCCATACTACCGCCCTATTTCTTCGTCTTCGCGTGTCGAAAGATGCCGTCTGACTCTCCACTGTCTTTGTGCATTGTAGATCCGGGGTCGCAAACGGCGCACGGTGATTTTACTGGTACTCTCATAGAATGTGTTATGGGAAGGCGCTTAGAAGAGGAAGTAAGCAATCAGGAAGCTGATGAGGCACAGAAGGGCTGTGATCTGGACAGACACACCGCCCGCGGGGGCTTGCTGTGTGCTTAGCGAGGACGATGTTTCTTGCTTCGAGTCCTGCGCGGATCCTGTCTTTCGCTGGCGGAGACCGGTCGCCTCGCTAACTTGCTGTGTCAATCGCGCAATCTGCGCCTTGGCTTCAGCAAGCTGAGCCTCAACATCGCTCGAGGATGGTAGAGCATTAGAGACGGTCCCAGCGGCAGAGCTGAAGCTCGACTGCATGTTGCCGCCCGTTGCTGGATTGTATGCCTCGTTCCTAATCTCTCCCAAGTTCTTGCTGTCTGATGGGCGGTCCTGGGGAACGGAGACAGGCCCCGAAGCGTCTGATACGCCACGCTGGGGAGTCACGGCCTCGGGTGACGGAGAGGAGAGCATCGAATCGCGGCTAATACCGTTGGTTCTTGCGGGAGTTGCGCTGGAGGAGGCATCGTCGGGAGCGAGGAAGAGAACCCTGATCTTTTTCTCTTGAATGGAAGACTTGGCGGTTTGCTCAATATGCGACCACTGCAAGCAGTTGTTAATATGCATCGACCTGTTGCTGTTGGTCCAGAACATACCAGAGATCCAACGTTGGTGAACTCCTTATCTGCGGTGACAAGTACAGATTGCACCAGGAACTTGTCGCGGCACTTCGCATCTGGCGGTGGGTCCTCCTTCATGGCTTGGAGGAGAACTGGGCGCATGCGTTAGTTTGCTGCAGTCTTCGAAGGGATGCGCGCATGGAGGGCATGCATACTCTGAACTTCGACATCCTTGCCAGGCTCGATGCGTCCGCTGTTCGGTCTCACGCAGTATCTAAAGCACCCGTTATTAGCTGTTGTGGGGGAGAGGTGTCGCGGGCGTCGTACTGCTTGGGGGCCGTGGTTTTCACCTTCCATGTGTCAGCTGCTAGTCCAAATTTCACAGTCTAATCCAGCAATTGATAGAGAAGCCTGCTTACCTTGAAGGCAATCGGGTCAGAGTGCGGGTTCTTCAAGCGGAGGGTCTGCGACACCTCGTGCTGGAAGGGTCCTGGCCAGATTAGTATCCTTGTGGCCCCAATGCTGCATGCGAAGCTTACGCTTGAAACCAAGCTCTACGGGGTCGAGCTCGACGGACATGGTGGACGCGCGTAAGCTGTAGGTATGCGGTGGTGATTGTGTCTTCCAAGGTTGGTAATCAGATCCGCGGTACGGGGTAGAGTCGCGATGAACCTCGGGAGTCTTGGAAAGGGGGGCGGGCGCGTGGAGTGAATCTAGAAGCTAAAATCCCGGGGATAGAGTGCGCAAACGGTGAATATCGAGGCGGGTGTGAAACTGGGTGGTTGCAGATGGTAGGGAGGAAGGGCGGATGGGTGAGGACAAGTAGCTATGACGTCCCGCGACGCCTCTTGATTCTGGAATCCCGAGGTGCCTCTAGTGTCCACCTACGCAAACAATCACAGCCTGCAAGCATCGCTCACTGTCTAGAAATCATACAATATCTCATCAAAGAGACAGTGACTGTCTGATCTCCCTTCTACAAGAGTAACATTG